AGGGAGGGAGGGAGGGAGGGAGGGAGAACAATAGACTATGGCATACTAGACCAAGGCACAGTAGCCCATGGCATGCTATCCTATTATACATTAGACCATGGCACACTAGCCTACTTCACACTAGCCCATGGTGCACTAGCTCACTGCACACTAGCCCATGGTGCACTAGCTCACTGCACACTAGCCCATGGTGCACTAGCTTACTGAACACTAGCCCATGGTGCACTAACCCATAGTATGGTAGCCCATGGCAATCTGTCTTCAACTCCACTTGTAAGTTGAGCCCTCAGTTGGGCAGGGGTGCACAAACCTACACTGTCAGCTCCTTGGGCGTGATGAGGTTTAATCAAAGGTTAGGAATACAAGGGGCCTAGGCAGTACAGTGAGATTCCAACTCAGAAACAAATCTCACCCACTACACTGATACTAATTTCCCTATCCTTTCTGGCCTCATTATGAGGACAGTTTAATTGGAATTAAAACAATCTTAGTTCAAGTCCATGTTCATCAATAGATGATGAGAAATCTGCTCATGGCTTCTATCTCCTACCCTTTCCACTTCATCCTTGACCACTCAGCCAGCTAGCTCCAAGTCTACCTCAGCTGCTTCCCAGCAGCTGGTCCATCACCTTGTAGTCTTTGAGCACAGTTTTCATTTGTGTTTCTAAATTAATCAATGACTTTTAAGAACAACTTGAGTAGTTGGGGGAGAGAAAAACATCACAATATGGTACTGCATGTTTGTAATGCCAGCACTCAGGAAGCTGAGGTAAGAGAGTTGTGAGTCTGAGGCTAGCCTGGGCAGCCTAAGAAGCACAAGATCAGGTTTGTACTCCTTACATAGAAGACCCTGGGTCAGAAAACTGAAGTCTTGTGACTCGGAGAGTAGAATGTTGTTTGAGTGTGACAGTTAGGCATCCTCTAGCCTCTACATGGCAAAAATAAAGGATTTTATAGTTGTCAGTTTTTGCTCAAAATGTATCACCAAATCAGTAACACAGCTTATATTAATCAGAAAGACTCCTTTAAGTCAGTTATCAATGATCAATAATAATGACTAATGATATTTACCTACTATGCCTTTTCATTTATACTTCTCTCAACTACTTAGTCCACGATATCCTACTAAAATTTTTAAAAAAGAACTTTTTTATTCCTAATTGTGGTAAAATACAGTTAAGAAAACATACCACCCCCTAAAGCATTAACATATTGCATTTTGAGATAAACACACACAATGTGGCAAGCTACAGAAAGCAAACATAGCATACTACCACCATGCTAATGTTAGATTTTGTTTGAATCACAGCTCATCCCTACACAGAATGCGCCCTCCTCTGATTATCAGGTCAAGGCCCTGTAGCATCCTATGCTTCATTAGTGTAATAATTAAAAAGTTCATTTTGTCCTACATCGCTGTATTTGTTTTTATTTCGTTTTATCTTATTATTTTCCATGCCTGTTACTATTCTAGTGAGAAAGAGAAAGGAAGGGTGTGAATGTGGCTGGGTTCATGAAATAGGGATGATCTGGGAGGTATGGGAAGAGGAAACAAGAATTAGAATATATTATATGAAAAATGCCCATTTCAATAAAAAAGAAAGAAAAAGAGAACTGCATTACATCTTTCTCAGGTCATATAAGATTCATCTAAGAACATGTAGATACAACAAATGAAATGTGGACAGAGGAGCAAGCAGTAACCACAGGAACCACAACCCAGCGCCCTGATGGTCACAGATGCCCCCTGAGGTACCGTTTCACTGTGCACCACTGAGCCTTGCTTTATGTGTCTCTTCCCTTCACCACAGGTCAAGTAAGGAAACACTAAGCTTTATTCAGCTGTTGAGGCACAAGAAGACTCCTTCCAGCACTGTCTCTTTGCTGCTTCAGACAATGTGGCGAAGCCTGAGTCACTTTCTCTTTCCCATTTGCTTAAAATTATAATCTTTGTTGGTTGCACTTCAGTTAAAGTTCTAAATACAACCACCAGTCAGTCACGTTAATATTTGAGAATCAGTTCTTCCCTTATAATTGTCTGACTATGCTCAGAATAGAACTGTAAATTATCATAAATACATTTAAGATTTAGATTTTCCCATTTGCTGATGTTCTTACAATTATCAAAGTTGTAATTTTATTTAGTATAATCAATGACAAAGACTGAGCAATAGAAATCCTAAAATGTTTTTAGAGATATACACAGCATGTTAAAGACTAGGGAAATTCAGAATGAAACTGACACAACACCAAGAAATCTAAGGTAAGGCATGAAAGCCATGCAATTAAAACCCAGAGTAAGATACTGATGTAAACAAGACCAAAGCAACCTGTGGTTAGAGTCACATAAAAAAATATCTGTGAGTTAACAGATGGGCCAGAAATAGTCTCAAGATTTTTTGGTTCTGTTTGTTCAAAAATATTTTACTTTGTCATTTTAAAAAGATTTTCTAAACAGTATGACAAAACACATCTAGCAAACTTTCCTGTTTTATGTAAACTCAGCTTTACTGTACCTCCCCAAGAAGCTGAGCCATCCACTGCACAGCTGCTAAGAAATCATTTGAAAGAACAATACATGCAGCAGTGCTCAGCCTGTAGTGGGTCAAGTCTCAGCTTCACTTCCATCTCAGGATGCTGGTCCAGTTCCCTACAGTTCGACCCTGTCTAGGGTCATACTCCTTGAGGTGAAGTAGTTAGTAGCTCCTGCTTGTCCCTATGCAGACATGTAATTGTTGCCCCTGGGAAACAATACTGGTTTGTAGAAGTAATATCTAGAGCCACAAAGAACATCTGCCTCCCTAAACAACACAGTTGCTGTGGCTTTTCTACAATACAAGCAGCACAACAGAAAAATCAAAAGAAGCTGCATAAGGAGAAAAAAGGAAGCACCTTTAAGAGGCGGTAAAACCCACTAGCTCCCAAGTTTTCAAGTGGTTTCCCTGCTGGTATGGATAACCTAAGCCATTCATCTCATGGGTGCTGTGAAACACTAGGCAGTGCTTGTCCTGTGCTGAGAAAGTTTGTGGTTTACCTTCACGTCATGGTGCTGGTCCAGCGTATCTAATCCCATGGTGGTCACCCCATTTTCCCTCTCTTGGAGCTCAGCTTCCATCCCTGGCTCTCCTTCTTTTGAGGGAAGCCCTAAGTCAGACCCTGGAGTCCTGAAGCTGCTGTTGGAAGCATTTTCATCATGGCTATTGGTTATAGATGATACAGAATCTGTGGTGGTTTCATTTCTTTCTCCATTCAGCACATGTGTATCAGGAGAGGTGGCAGCTGGCTGAATAGTTGTCTCTGGGCTAAGAGCAGTCTCCTGCTCATCTTCACATTCCATCTGGTTTTGTGCAGCCACCACACCATTGGCCAAATAACCATGTTGGCCCTGAGTCTGATCTGGATCGTTTTCCTGCTTTTGTGGAGAGTGCTGGGATAGGAATTTTCGTGGAGGTGTGGAAGTTAACCCATGCAGTCCTGGAGTTTGAGGAATATTTAGGTTCATAGTAGAATCTTTTTGCAAGTCAATGTAACTTGACAAAACACTGTAAGATAAAATACAAAAAGAAACATTGGCATGAAAAGTTGTAGAGTGAAGACAAGTCAAGTTCAGGTGAAAAGAGACATCATCTCTACGTGATGGTTTTAGAAGCAGACTCCTGGGACACATGCCACATTTAAACAAGCAGTAACATAGAAAGGGGAAGTTTGAAGAGATGGTTCAGCTGTTAAAGGCTAAGCTCAAAACAAAACCAGATGGATGAACTTGAGCCTTTTCTGGTTGGATTGTTTCCATGAGCTTTTTACTAATACAGCTTATTCAGTAAAGATAGAGATGAAAGAAGTATTTGTGTCCAATGAGATTGTCTTTTTCCAAGATCTTTATTTCTTAATCATTTTTAAAACAAGCATGAGCTTATAAACAGGTTATAAAACCAAGTTAGTTTTATTTGGAAAGTAGGAACATTAAAAAGAAAAAATACTCCTTTATTACACATGCTGTAGCAGCTGCTAATGGATCGCTAAGAATTCTCTTGAATTTTGCTCTTTCTGTCTCCAATCTTGTCCTCACAAATCAGATCCTTATACATTCAAGACTTCACTAATGTCTCCAGGACATCAGCAAGAATATGCCTTCTCCAGGTCCTCCAGCTCGCACCTCCTGGGACCACCTTTCCTCTTACTTCGGTCTTGTACATTCCTGAAGTTCTCCGTTGTGTCCATGTTAGAATCAGTAGCCCTGCTCCTGTCTGCTCAGCACATTCTCCCCAGTACATTGGTAGTGTGCACTCCACCTGTCATTCAGGCTTTGAGAGGCTTTGCTTGGCTGGTTTATTTAAGCAGCACACTTCACCACGTTCTCTAATCTCCTTTTATTTATCTTTAAAGCCCTCATTACTGCTGATATTCTACATAGTACTAACACGGCAACAGAACCTCACTCCCAATGCATAATTAGATGCTTATGGAAATATTTGTATATCAGTTTAACCAATAATTCAAGGTTGAGAGAGGGAACATAAAACTCAAAGCCATAGTCTGAGAACTTCTATGATATAAATAAGAGAAATTTAAAACATTCTAGAATTCTATGAGCTTGTAGGTGATGTTGTCTTGTTCCCAGGTTTACTCCAGCTTAGCTGGATGTGTGTGAAGAGTTCAACAGCCGTACAATGAACTATTGATTACTGTGACCATCCTGTGACAATCATACCCCAGACATTTATGGAGTCTCCACTGAGTGCCTAGAGCTATGCTAAGTCCTTTTACACTATCATTGTGCTTTTCCCTTACAACAATTGCTAAAGCAGGGGCCCACAAACAGAGGAATCTACACATGCAAAAAAAGCTGTCCTATAGCCAATGTGACTTGGCTAAAAAGTGGCCAAACCAGACTTCAGGCTACACTTCAAATACCACTTCAAAATCGCATCGTCATCTTTGCCTCGTTTTGGATGGAATGAGGAGCAGGTAAATAAGCCAATAAAATGAGGGGACAAAATCCACAGCGATGACCTTCTCTAGCTCAGCAGAACTTGGGGTGATGGGGAGGGAAGTAGGCTAAGGCTAGATATTTTCGGAAATACTGAGAGGCACTGTCACCTTCTTCCTTCATCTTACCCCATCCCTGTCCTGTCACTGCCACTGTGAACTGAAGGATGACAAAAGAGACAGAGAGAGACAGTAGCAACAAAGTAACAAGGAAAAGAAACAGTTTAAGTCCAACCCTGGGACCACCGGAATAAGAAAGGGGAGAATATTTCTAAAGAAGAGTTTATACATAAGTGTTGGAAGTGGCCAATATAAAGATATGACACATTCCATTGCTGTTATTGCCTGTTATACATAATGTATCTTGATCATGGATAATCTGCCAAAAAAAACCCTCAAAGATGACTAAGATGTCCTCTTGTGTAGTCTTTAAAAATAATGCATAGAAAAGAGTTGACAGCTTACTGTACTAGGTGACATCAAAGGCATCAGGAGGTATAAGCTGGAGATAGGGAAAAGCAGGCATTCCTGTGGATGCTGAATAACAGTGTGCGTGCGTGCGTGCATGCATGCGTGTGTGTGTGTGTGTGTGTGTGTGTGTGTGTTTGTGGTGGGGTGGTAGTGGTGGTGAGTGGTGGAGTTAGGCCTGCAATGTGTTTGGGAAAGATCAGTGCTCTTGTCTGTGGGAAAATGTTATTTTTTAAAATTGTAGCTGGGCAGTGGTGGCATAGGCCTTTAATCCCAGCACTTGGGAAGCAGAGGCAGGCGGATTTCTGAGTTCGAGGCCAACCTGGATAGCCAGGGCTACACAGAGAAACCCTGTCTTGAAAAACAAAAAATAAAAACAATAAAATAAAATAGTAAAGTTTTTCTAAGCTAAAAAAAAGAGTAATTTTTCTTATTCCAAGAGAAAAAAAGATGAGAGAAAAAGGAAGCCACGATGATGATGATGATGATGATGATGATGATGATGATGATGATGATAGAACAGTATTACTTCCACCCAAGTGAAACTACAACACTCAGCTGGTTCTTTAAAAAGCATTTATTATTGCTCTGAAAGTGGGCATCCAATCGAGAGCTCTAGGGAATGCTGTGGAGGTCCAGGGACAACTTTTGGGAGTCAATTCATTCCTTCTACCCTGAGTTTCAGGGACTGAGCTGAGGTGTTCAGGCTGCGGAAGGCAAGTCCTTCTCTTGCTGAGCCATACCACTGGTTTTCATCTGCAGTCCCTAATAGCAGTGATATGTGGCCTGCCAAGGTTCTCCTGGCCTATTTCTGTGTATTCAGAATCCAGTGGCTTCCTTTTGTTCTAAAAGTATTAGGCTCTGCCAACAGAGATCAAAACTGAAAACTAGCCTGCAGGCTTGTGGGCATTTTCCAACAATAAACTTAATGTAGTATTAACCCACCCTGCAGATCCTTTTAGGGCTAGTTGTCCTGGTGTGGGGACATGGCAGCCAGTCCTGAGCTGATGGCACTATGTCTTTCCCTGCTCAGAAATGATAGGATAGCTGCTCTATCCTAGTCCTTAGACTGTTCAGACCTGGCTAATAATCTACACAGGTCCCTGTGATGAGTAAAGAAATAATATGTAGCCAGGCATCCCATAAAGGTCATTGACCTATTGCTCTGGAATGCCTGGGAGAGCATAGTGGCCAGCAGGTGAGATAAGAACAGGACAAGGGACTGTGAGGTATTAACTTTGCTTTTGCTTTGCTTCTATAAAACCTGCTTATCACTATGGGAAAGGGATGAAGTGGACTTTTATTACTATTTAGAGGAAAGATAAGAAACAACTGAGGGAAGTAAAACAATTTTCCTGTCCAACAGTAGATTCCAGGAATAGTTGTAACACACACCTTTCTGGTGTTCACTTAAAAACTCCACCTTAACTACACACACCCCCTTCCACAGTTCATGCTGTTTGGTATGAGGCTGCCATTGTTCCGCAAGCAGTAAAAATAACTTCATTTAATCTAAATTTGAATTGACTCTAAGTCTTTGATCTTTGTGAGTAGATTCGAACACCACAACTGCCTGGGTGACAGCAGACCAATAATGTTGCTCTTACAAAGGATTGCACCACAAGCAGAATCCTTGTCCAAACATGAATCATAAATGATGGCACATCCTTCCTTACATAAGTACAAAGCTGTACACATTTCACCTGGAGAGATAAACTCATACAATTTGTAACTGGGCTACAAAACTAATCAGGGTCAGAGACCTCAGCCTTTGGAATATGGATTCCTTTGAGGCCTCCCCGAGTCCTGAGGCCTCCCGGGGTCCTGAGGCCTCCCTGGGTCTGGCATGACAGCACTGAGACTGGCTCAGGCCCCCACCTCCTCTCTTTCTCATGGCAGTGGCTGCAGAACGTGTAAACTGGAAGGATCTCGTTTCTGTTTTTGAATCAGTCAACTCTGAGAAGAAAAAAACTGAATGAAATTTAGTCATTGCTTTAAATATTGCTACAATTTCAGCTCCCAAAAGCATTACAAATTCCCTTTAGAGGACATTGAGGATTTACAGATCACATAAGAGCTCAGGAATGAAATACAGCATTTAAACATGTTTCTCCAAAATTTGTAAATGTATTATAGTAAGCATGATATTTTGTAAGTACATTGCATTTTAGTTTCTTGTTTTGTTTTTGAGGAGTCTTACAATGGGGCTCAGGCTCGCCTCAAACTCTTGAACCTCTGCTTCAGCCCCCTGAATATTGTAATTATATGCCTGTGCCCCCCCCAATGGTTTATCCTTACAATTTTTAATTTTGAATGAGGGACATTACAGTTTTGTGCTTGCTCATGCTTCTCAGGACATCCCCCAAATATTCCCAAGCTAAGGTGTCAAAACATACATAATAAAAAAATTTAAAAGTTTATGTAATGGCACATACAAAACACCCATAGATATAAAATAGTAAAATGAATAATTCTTAAAAAGATTCATGTAATGGGAAATTGTCAATATTACATTGGAATGAGTGAAATGTTTGGCTTTGTGTGTAAGTAAAATTATATATATTTTGTTTAGATTTCTAGTGACATAAATGTAACTGTAGGATAGTATGACTTTCAAAGACCCTCCTTCTCCCACCTTCTCCCATACATATGAACTCTTACCTGCCTCCTTCAAAGTGACTGATGAGATCCGATACCTTACTATGTTTCCCTTTTGAGGCACAAGAAGTAGGGGCAGGATTAGACTCCTCCATCCTTGGCTTTGCACTAGGTAAAGCTTTATGCCTGGGGACTTGGGGTATATGGGATGAAGGTGAATTCTGCAGATGTAATGGTTTTGGAGGCACTGTAGAAAAAGAAAAGAATTCAATATTTCACTGTTTTTCTCTGTAACAGTAAAGATTCTAGTACCCTAGGTGTAAAGCACCATTAGTAAGCTATTGCAAGGGAATCTGTCAAACTGGAACTGACCTAACCAAGGAGAATTTTATTTAGCTCTTGCTATTTCTCCAGATCTCATTGAAATTATATATATATATATATATATATATTCTTATATAATTTCTATTTCTAAATATAATTTCTAAGTTATATAATTTCAATATGTGTGTATGTATGTGTGTGTGTGTGTGTGTGTGTGTGTGTGTGTGATGTGTGTTGTACTTAAAGGACATAATAGAAGAAAATTATTCTTTCACTCCTGAAGTTAAGTAGGAATCAAGGACATGTAATTCAGAGTTAAAAGAAAAATATATCTGTATACTCTGTACTCATTATGCTAAATTACAATCAGAAGTTTAGTTGGGTGTGGAGCTTCTGCCAACTTCAATGCCAGCATTCAGGTGGCAGAGGTAGGGGTATCTCTGTGAGTTCAAGATCAGCTTGGTCTACATAGAGAGTCTCAGTTTCAGGCCAGCCAGGGCTATGTACTGAGACACTGTGTAAACCAAAACCAAACATAAACCAGGATCTTATGCTTCAGTCCAAAGCTCTGTTTTTAAAGAAAGTAATAGAAACAAGACCAAAGAAATAACCTCACATTACAGAATAAAATTTCTCTTTGTGGTCACATTTACTACTTAGGAAACCCAGTGAGCTTTAGGCATTGTGTTTAGGCTTCCAGGATTCATTATATTCCTTCCCTGCAACCTTGGTGTCCCTGTGAATGTTTACAGAGGAGTACTATCTTCTTTTTAACTCTTCCCTATTGAAAACTTTATCATGCATCAATGCTTTCTGAGGATGTCTCTAAGGATCAGTTTCATGCACCTCCATTTCCACCCTTTCATCACTGCTGACCTCGTATCAGAAGGAAAGGAATAGAACATGAGCATTGTTAAATGGTTTTTTGCATATCTCCTTAGCACTCTAGCAGCAACTCTACTGTATTATTCCCAAAACTTAATCTACTAGGTTTTCATAAATTAGCTTACCCACATATACTCTTGTTTCTACTACTGTTCAAGTCATTCAGTCTTACATAACTTTTCAAATGTATGATGAGCTATGCTTGAAATAGTGCTGGATGCATGTGAACATAAGCATTGCACTCATAGAAATACAACTCATTAGATCAGTGGTTCTCAATCTTCCTAATGCTGAAACTGTCTAATATAGTTCTTCATATTCTGATGGCCATCAACTATAAAGTTTTTTGCTACAACTGTAATTTTGATAGTTATGAATTATAATGTAAATATATGATATGCAGGATATTTGATATGTGACTCCTGGGGTTGTTTGATGCCCCCAGGGGTTGAGACCTACAGGTTGAGAATTGCTGCAATAGGGGAAATGACTTCCTTTTAAAAATATTCTCCTATATAAAAACATTTATGACTGTAAACTGTATGTCTAAGACTTTTAATTATCCACAGTCATTACTCTAAGTCTCCTTAATATCTTTCATATTCATCGCTTTCATTGTTTTCATTCAAACTATTGATGCAAAAGGAACAATACAAATGAAAGGCTCCTAGTACATGGGTGTGTTTATATAGCTACCAAATATTCCACAAGCCAATTTTATTATCAGTCACATTGACTTTTGCTAAGAACAATAACTTGAATTAATTGTTACTATATTTAAAAATTGAGGAAACCTAAGATTAGAGTAAAAGTAGAATCAATTGGCAATGCCTGTCTTGGATGCGAAATAGGAAAATAGTTCTTGGTATGCCCAGAGTCCAGGGCACCTCTGGTTCTTCTGTCCTGCCCCTTTCAGCCATTCATTCTACCCATTTCCCTTCCTTATGATTTTCCACCAATCCACAGGACAGCTCTCTACTTGGAACCCACAGCTGAGACCCAGACAAGTGACCTTTATTCACCTATTACAGATGCTCTAGTCTATAAGTCCCAGTACACCTTCATCCTCTTGGGACTTAGACTCTTGGAATAGACACAGAGATAAGGGAACCTCTAGATCTTCCTTTGAACAGTCTGTCTCCCCATTCATTTGTGAACTCTCACAACTGTCACATCTGGATAAGACCCAGAATGTGCAATAGCAACTAAAGAATGGAACACCCAACCAACAAAGGTGACATTATATATCTACAGATATCTACACCAAAAATCTTAAAATTCAAATATCTTAACACCAGATACACCAATAAAACCACAAATATGAGCAACAAAAACAATATTCTTCCTGCATAAGCTAGCAGCTCTATTGCAATAGACCCTGAAAAGGCAATTTAGCTGATACATAAGACAAGGTCTTGAAAACAGTAATAAAGAACGTGTTCAGGGCTGGAGAGATGGTTCAGCAGTTAAAAGCACTGACTGCTCTTCCAGAGGTCCTGAGTTCAAGTCCCAACAATCACATGGTGGCTCACAACCATCTGTAATGGGATCTGATGCCCTATTCTGATGTGTCTGAAGACAGCTACAGTGTACTCATATACATAAAATAAATAAATCTTAAAAAATGTTCAAAGATGAATAAATACTATTATAAAGACAGTAAAGATATAAACAAATAAATAAAATAATCAAATAATGAAAAACTCAACTCATGAAAAAAAATTTAGAAAGAACCAATCACTAATGAAAAGCCAAAGAGAAATAAAAGTGAAAGTGAGAAACAGGAAGTCAAATGAAATTTTGGTAGGCATCACCAAACAGACTGACAGACATGGAAGAGAGAATCTCAGGTCAGAGGTAAGCACCACCAACAGACTGAGACATGGTAGAGAGAATCTCAGGTTTTGAAGACAACATAGAGAAAATGGACTGTCAAGTCAAGAAAATATTAATTCTAAAAAAAAAAAGAAATGAGGAACAAAACATCCAGGAAATCTGAACACTATGAAAAGAACAAACCAATGAATAATAGGATAATTATTGAAGAAAATTTGTCCAACCTAGAGACAAAGATGCCTATAAAAGTACAAGATGCATACAGAACACCAATAGAACCATAAAAGAAATTTCAAAGATATACAATATTCAAAACACTGAATGTACAGAACAAAGTATATTAACAGCTTCAAGGGAGAAAGGTTTTGCAAAATATAACAGAACCATTAATATAGCAGGGCCATTAATTTTCAATAGAGATTCTAAAAGCTAGATGGATTAGGATGGATGTTCTCAAAAGATGAAAGAGGAATGGCTAAGAAATATTTAATTAAAAAAAGAGTTCAACATCCTTGGTCACTAGGGGAATGAAAATTAAGACTACTATTAGATTTCATGTTACCCCAGTGAGAATGGCCAAGATCAATAGAACAAATGACAGCTCCTGATGGTGAAGATGTAGGCTAAGGGAACTGGTGTGAGTGCAAACTGTTCTGGCCTCTATAGAAATCAGTGTACATGTTCTTGAAAAAGCTGAAACTCGATCGACCTTAACATCCAGTTATACCACTTGTGGACATATACTCAAAGAACTCTAAAATCTACTGCAGAGATACTTGCTCATCCAGATACATTGCAAACAGCCTAGATATTCATCAAGCAATGGCTGGATAATAAAAGTGTAATACACTTACACAATCAAATATTATTCAGCTCCTTAGAAAAGTAAGATTTTGAATAGTGACTGAATGGAGATAAAAACAACCATTTTAAGTGATAGCAAACAAATATTGCATGTTTTTCTCTTATATGTTGATGATATGTTTTAAGCTTTAGATATGTGTGTTTCAATCAGAATAGCCACAAAGCATAGACAGCTAATTAGAAACCAGTCGGAAGAAAAGGATCTTACAGGGAAGAGGAAACAGCATATTATATAATACACATATTATATAACATATATAAACAGTATATATAATTTATTTATTTAATTTAAACATATATATATATATATATATATATATACACATATATACACATTTTAAAAACATACACACTTTTTATAGGGAGTCACCATATAATGGGCGAGACAGTGCCCCAAGTAGATATCCATACTATCAAGTCAAATGGGTTACATCTTATTGTGTCACTAACCAAAGGCATCCCATGGACTCCTTCCTCCAAACACCATAGGCTATTTTCAAGGTTACTGGCTGTTGGTTATTCCTCATAGACTGATGACAAGGCCATATTGCTGAAGATACAACTTACTTATGTCATCATACATGGGAATTCGAGGTATTTCCCAACTAGAAGCTTTACCACTACAGATTAGTGTTTATGGTGCTCAAAGATACTTTACATGCTACTGGATAAGTAATTGTAGCAGGATGGTTTTTCTGCTGCTTCTACATTATTTGCATTAAGCATGGTGATTGAGGAGAAGCTAATATGGGAGGAGTGAGGAGAGGAAGAGGAGAAGGAAAAAGAGGAAGAAAAAAAAGCTAGGAGAAAGAGGAAGATGTAGCAGCCATGGAGAACTATGGATGCATCAAGAACAGTCCTGGGTAACAAATTTTATCTAAGGTTAGGTATTCAATAACAACTCTAATTGTGTGGGCATCTTGTTAATTGAGAATTTTCCAAATATATAAATACTGGATAATATTTAAGCATTAAGAGTCTCATTTCTATCGGGTACCACATGGATGGTGAGATGGTCTGGGCTCAGCCAAGCACTGTGGATAGTGTGGTGGATTGGCAGAACCAAACACTATGCTGGCGTCTCACGGGTCTAGTTGTGGCAAGCTTGGCTTCTGGCTGCTTCCAGCTGTGGCACATTTGGCTTCTGGCCACGGAACATGGCAGCCTGAGCTAAGTCACACTGCCACAGGAATAGACAGCATACACTGGATTTTTTAAAAATATTACCGGCAACAAGTGGTGCACCAACTTCAGACACGAATTCACTAGGAATTTAAGTCTATTCACCTGAGAGTAAAAGATGTATTTTTGTTTTTTAAAAAAAGAAAGTGAGTGAAT